GCTTTCTGTTCACTAGCATGTCCAGAAAGGATATAGAGCTAAGTTCCACTTCGGTAGTAAGACATATTCGACCATTTGTATCTTGTCCATTCATGTAATTCACGAGGCATATCAGCCTTTTTAGTTTGTCCTCATTCCTTGGAATAGTAGGAAGTTTCATCAATGAATCAATCACAGAACAATGGCGAGCATGCGATTACTGAAGGACGTTCTCTCAGTCACGTCGATGTGTCTGTCATTGACAAAGACCAGTCTAAATTAGGTCTGCTGATAAAGGTGCCCTTGCATGTACTGGCGATGAAAGGCCGAATGTGCTTCGAATACACATCTTCTGTGGTTATTAATGAAACCTAAAGGATAGTCGCAAAATTGATACGATATATCGTGTTTACACCGCAGCGATTGTTTTAATGAAATTTTCACACTGTTGGTTAACATTCCGGCCGGTCAGTTTAATAAGATTTTGATTGTAAAATATCGTTCGCTTGTTGCGCATAAGTGCCTTCAGGTAGTCATTTGTATCTAGCTTACCGCTGATGATGTTGTGGCCTGTTGTATTTTGTGCCCATTACCATTAATCATTCAAACACCTGTCTATACAACTATTTGCCCAGAATCAAACATTTGAAGTATTTTTTAATTAAACTTATATCTACACCTGGATTTTAGTCTGATTGGTCAAGGTGAATTGTAGCATAAAAGCGCATGCATAAAGACCGATGTCCGTATATTTCGCACGCTTTGACATTACCACACCAAGCACCATGCTGTTACTGTTATTCGCAGATTAATGACTTGATTCTCTATGCTCAGATGCTTGTCATGACGCACAATGGGGTGAATTCCTTGTTTAACACAATTGGCTGTGAATAAGCGAGAACCTTGGGTTTAAATCCATCTCTTCTAAACCGTAAAACAAACTGTTAACTCATTGCACCACTACCCTAACCTCAGTTGATCGTGTGATCATCATTGCACCTGAACCGCTGCCTGCAGTACCGTTCGACTGACATCGCTAGTTTGCACTGTTAAATGCGATCCGCTGTAACCGCTAATTTCAGGATCTTGTGGACGTGGTGTTGGACGAGAACCAACTTGACGATGCATGCGAACACGTCGCTGAATACCTGGAAGGATATTGGCGCGCCACACATCCGCAGGTCAAGTCGCCGCCGCGCATTCGTCGTCACATCGACCGACTCTATCCGGCTTACTTCGCTTCTAACCCAGAGATGCCCAGAAGCGTATGTGATGCGCTACCGGCTGCTTAATGCGAGTCACGCGTTTTCTTCTTCGATCCTTGAATATCCGTGGGCGTCTGAGTGGCGTATGTTGTTTCGTTTCCCCCTTCTTCGTCTTCCGCATCAGTGATGTTTCTAGTTTGTGGAAGACAGAAATTTTCATTCGACTTTTCGTAGCTATGCCCCCGTCTGCTGTTTGTTCCTGTTTGTGAATTTAACAGTTTTAACGATACTGATTGAATTTTTCGTCCGGATGAAAAATTTTCAGAGGATTTATTCAGCGTATAAATTTTACCAAATAGAATCCCAATTTTTCGCATCGAACAAGGTCCATTTTGAAACGATACTGTGTAGCAACAATTGCGAAAACAGCGGCAACAATCTTGTTGCGTACAGTCTAATCATCTTACAATGCAAACGCGATCATCGACTGGTTGATAACGTTTTGTACTTCAAGCTATCAGATTTAAATGTAATTCCTCACACAATCCTTAGTTATTATATTCCGGAATGAATGATCACATGTCCCCTCCGTCGTCAAGACATTCATGCGCTTCTTTCAAAAGTGCTTTATTCTTTCGCATCCGCTGTTCATGTTCTTCCAATAATTAATATGTCTCACTTTCAGCATGTGTTCGATAAGTGTCGAATTCTTTCGCATTCTCTTTTTATATCCGTCTGTTTTCTCCTACGCCGTTTTTGATCTTGTCCGTGTTCTCTTTGATGGGCATTGTTTCATCTTGTGAGGTAGGAGTGATGTTCTGTTTTTATTTTCCATTTGTTGTCGGTTTCCTCAGTATACGTAGCTTCTGAATTTGTAGCTCAAGATGAAGTACGACTCGCGCTCCTTCTCTCAGCAACTTTTTGTACATTTCCAAGCTTCAGGATCAATGCCTTCGAAGGACTGTGACCAATTGAGTTATAATTGGTTGTTGTCTTAGAAGTTAGGCCATTAAGCCATAATTTGCCTTGCTTGTCGAACCAGTCTGCGAGTTGATAGGGAACAACGTTTTACCCAGTTTTGATTGACTCCTGATCATAGACTTAGCTGCGCGAGTGTTTCAGTGATTGATCTCCACTCGTTTTGTTATGCACAACAGTTATAATCCTCTCTGTCCTCACTGGAAGAAGGTCTATCTCCAGGACTCAGATCAGCTGAAGTAGCGCTATACCTAACTGCGCTGATCTTGTCGGTTCTTAAGAAAAAATATTATGCCATGTCTTGATTTGACTCATCGTTTTAGAGTGAACAACACGCGGCTTGTCTATCTGAGCTACCAGTATCTTGCTTCGTTGTATACATGACCGACATTTATCAGATTACAGCTGGAATAGGGCCCATCCAAAACTTATTTTGTAAATTGTAGTTATGATACCACATTTCTAGGGTTATTGGCTAGTCAAGGATGATGTGTTGACCGAGGTCGAACTCAGATTCACAGTCTAACTCGTGTAAGAATCGCGCCCTGTTCAGCCGCCTTCAATGTACATGTACACACCTTAATTGTATGACATTCTGCGATTCTTTCATTGAAATCAGACAAAACTACCCATCTTTCAAAATGTATGTTTTGTGGCATATGAAGAGAGTACTTCAGCGTCAGTTCTGTAGTTACAATCTCGAGGTGCTTTCAAAGGTAGGATAAAGCCCAAAGACTGCACAGCTGCGTTCAAGCTGTTTTAGGCATGCAGTTGCATAGATATACACTGATTTCTTCCGTGCAAGAATAGAATTCTTAGTGTTATATTGAGGTACAACAGGGTTTCTAAGTATCTGCGTAAAGAACGAATCGCTGCAGTGCGTTTTGCTTCTGGTTTGACTTGTTCGCGCTTTGTAAGGTTACAGTGTTGGAATACTGCTCAATATTTTGTGCCTCGTACGAGTTACACATTACATCAACCTCGTACGTATCACGATAGTTCGAACTCGCCGATACAAGATAACGAGTTCGAATCCTAGTAACTCACCTTTTACGCTGTTGAGGTACGTAATTGAATATATCTGAGTCACATATGGGGACGAAACATAACTATAGTGGTTACTAGTGGCCACTTAGCGTTATGATTGCGTAAGCGTGAATGATGTCGCAGTGGTTGCGAACATTTCTTTTTTCCATAGCACTGCGTTATCAAGAGAAGTGAGCTCGACGAAGCAATTTTTATAAACGTGATTGAATCTCTGTAGCCGTGTACGGTGTACACGTCACCTCGTTTTTTGCACTTATTCGAAAGCTTTTTTCCACTGAGGCGTAGCAGCTTCCTCAAGAATCAGACATGCCCTGAGTATGAATATGGCAGGGCTATTGCCGCTGCCTGGAAAACGTCTTTTTTGCTGCACGTCGACTGTTGTGGTTGCGTGTATAAAGAATTTTTTTAGCTCTGCTTTTAGGAATATAACCTTTATCATTCGAGAGCAGTTCCATCGTACATAATGGCTCATGGCGAAGTGGGACAGACCGCCCCTGCCGCTAGAACAGAAACGTTTGCAAGTATGTCCGTCGACGGGCTAAACTTTGGCGTCCACCCTATGGTGGACATCGACGACACGCTTCACACTGAGCACAGAACAACGAAGTTCAGCCCGGTGACTGGTCACGGCGATGCGTTTACGTAGCGCGCGACGGCAGAGGCAGAGACAGCGGCAGCGGCAGCGGCGTTTCTCTTTTCGGTCGGTGATGCGGTTTCGAGGTCGAAAACGAACTGCGGTATGGTTGTTGCTGAACTTCTGCGATGGCCGGGGCCGAATCTCATTTCGCCTAAACGTGTGCGCGTGCCGATTGCTGAATTGCTGAATTTCTGTAGCGTAGTGTGTCTTTCATTTGTTTTGGCGCCGTTCTTTGAAACGTTTCAGAGTTCGGGCTCATTTTTACACCATGAAGCGAGTCGAGGTCGAAGCGATGGTCTGTTTGTGTGCGTTTGTTTTCGGCGTTTCGTAGTATAGTCTTCCATGCGCTGCGCGGTGTCACTCATGAAGCTTTACAGAAACGATGCCAGCTAATGCGAATGCCTTACAGCAGTTGAATATCGTTATTCTTGCTGAGTAACATTGCTTGTTCGATGTAAAGTTATACTGCGATTTGCTCGCATTGTCAGTCAGTTGGTTTACTTAATTTTTAGT